AGAGTAAATCTGGTCCCTGTTACTCCATCTGGGCTATAAGAGAAAGTCTGTTTAGTCTGTTTTAGAGAGTAAGAATTGATGGCTTCTAAGGATTTTTGCAACTCTGAGATCTTTGATTTTTTATTCCATATCTTTAATAGCTTTTTTTTTTTTTTATCTCCACAGTATATCCTATTCTCTCCTCAGAACACTTAACTATCTGCAATTTATGCTTAGAAGTTTGCTTGGGATTAAATCTGTGCTATGAGTGAACCTTATTTATGATACCAACACATTGCATAGAATGATGGCAATCAAGACATAACAGCAAAATGTATAAATACATTCTGTAGAGTTCATATATATATATATAATTACAACACAAAACTTACTGCTATGTGTAATATAATATATACTGATATTTCCTGTTCTGTTTCAATGAAAAAAATAAACCTTTGGTATGACCCATTAATGGGTTATATCTCACAGTTTAAAATACATTGTCTATATAAAGAAAAAAAACTAGGAGGTATCATATTGAAAAAAGGTAGATGTACTTAGTTTACATTAGTTCTGTTACCAAGTTTCACTTCAAAACAGTTTGAGTATAATATACTTAAGTTATACAACTTTATTAATTTATATAAAATTGTTTCCATATTTTTTAGTTTTAGTCTTTTCCATAATAAATAGACTAGTAATAACTTATAAATAAAAAAGAGATACCATAAATAAAAAAGAGATACCATAGAATTTTATTTTTTAATTAATGAAATTTGAGTGATGTCTTATGTTAAGAATTAGGGTTTTAAGGCATGGTCAAGTCATAGAACTAATAATAGCTTTGCATCCTTATTTTTTGTTTGTTTGTTTATAAATAGTGGAAGGGATGGGGAGAGACAGCAAGATTGAAACATTGAAGTGAAAGAGACAGATCCATTAGTTGCCTCCTATCTGCTCCGGACCAGGGTCTGGGATGGAGCCTGCAACCAAGGAATCAAACCTAGGACCCTTCAGTCCATGGGCTCATCCTCTATCCACTCAGCCAAACCAGCTAGGGCTGCAGTTTCTTTTATGCACTTGAGAAATTAAAGAGAGGACTTAACCAAAGATTGGAGAGAGCAAGGTGGGGATGTGATAGGTTAGTTAACAAGATTCTTAAAAGGGTATTACTTCTACTGGTATTTCAAAGATGTGTTAACCTAGATGCACAAGAGCAATGGACAGGGCTGGCTTAAAACCTTTCACTAAAGAAGTTCCAAGCCTGGGGCATGACTAACCCACTATAACCTGCCCAGGTAGAAATTTATGATCAGGTCACTGTAAGGTTACTTTCTATAGAACCCCTCTTTTTTTTCATTCACAGTTTCCCCTTTTGGTAATAAATAAACATGATGAATGCATTGATAGCTGACTTTTTGGTCAGATAATGTGTTTTCATAGTGCTAGGAAGGCTCACTCCTAGGAAGTCTCAGTATTGACTTTATCTTATGAACCACTGGGGATGGGGCAATACTAGAACCATATGATCTGAACTGAGGCCAAATTTTCCCCAAAAAAGGAAAGGGCAGGTAAACGGAAGACAGGTCTTATGGTCTTCATTAGAAAAAAAATACTCTGGATCATTTCTGTCTTATGACTATCATGATCCAAGTTTTGCCTGCTGTCTCATTTTTCTCTATTTGACATCTAATATAACAATTACATAAGTCATGAAAAGAGTGTTAACAGTTATCTTATACATGTTCAGTAATCATAAACAGTTGGACTATGTAGAAAAACCCAAAGAACAAATAACTTATGACAGTCAAACAAAATGGATTCTTAGTTCAGTATCAGTCCATAGGTATACAGGTTTGTCGAAGTCTTGGGATAGCTGTCTACTTCTGTTGTCAGCAGTTTCTCACCCTAGAGGGCTTTGATGACCGTGTAAGTGGAAATGAGTATCAGAGATGGGTGGATGTCCATTTGTGGTTAGGTGCCTGATAAGGCCCCTTCTAATGGAGTTGGAGAGTATCTTTTATTTGATGTCCTTTTCAATAATCAAAATTTTGAAGTCTTTGTTTCCTGGGAGTTCACTGTGAAAGGACGCAGTTACCAACTTGGCATTGTCTTGAAGTGACTCTATTAAAACTTGGCGATAGTGTAAGATGTCTCCTTTCGGTAATGTCAGCCCATAAGTTTCTTCATCTAAGTTCAGCTTACTTAATTATCATTTGGTTAACAAAAGCAATAAATGGCTAAGGATACCCATTGTTTGTGATCTATTAACCATAAGAAGTTTGAATCTATCCTACATTTTATACATATACTAGAGGCCTGGTGCACGAAATCATGCACTTGTGTGTGTGTGTGGGGGGGGGGGGGTCCCTCAGCCCAGCCTGCACCCTCTTGCAGTCTGGGAGCCCTCCATCAGTCAGACATCCTTAGCGCTGCTGCAGAGGTGGGAGAGACTCCCACCACTGCTGTTGTTTTTGCCAGCCATGAGCCCAGCTTCTGGCTGAGTGGTGCTCCCCCTGTGGGAGCACACTGACTATCAGGGGACAGCTCCTGCTTTGAGTGTCTGCCCCTTGGGGGTCAGTGCACATCATAGCAATCAATCGTTCTGCCATTCAGTCCATTTGCATATTAGCCTTTTATTATATAAGACTAGAGGCCTGGTGCATGAAAATTCATGCTCTGGAGGTGAGTCCCTCAGCCCAGTCTGCCCCCTCTCACAGTCTGGGAGTCCTCAAGGGCAGAAGGTAACCTGACGATCAGGAGAAGGTGATGCCCCCATCATACCTCTGCTGCTGCCACTGCCAGCAGCACAACCCTCAGGTGGCCCTGGGTGGCTGGGCAGCTGCCATCCAAGGCTTGCCTGCATCTCAGGCCAGCCCTGAGCAGCTGTGCAGCCACCCTCTGAGACTTGCCTGTGCCTTTGCTGGGCAGCCGACATCTGAGGCTTGCCTGAGCCTTGGGCTGGCCCTGGGCAGCTGGGAAGCCACCATCCAAGGCTTGCCTATGCCTCAGGCCAGCCTTGAAAGGCTGGGGGACTGAGTGGACTGGGGGATTCCAGAGGCAGGCACACAGCACAGCCGGGCCCGCTGAGGGGACTAGGCACCACCATCTTGTGGCTGTGGGCACCGCCATCTTTGAGGGCATGGCATTCAATTAGTATATTCTCTCCTTATTGGCTGTGGGTGCCGCCATATTTGTAAGAGTGCAACAGTCAATTAGCATATTCCCTCTTTATTGGTAGAATGTTCCACAAAAAACATACAATGCAGCATCTTTCACAGAAAGCATCCAGGCTTTCCTAATCAGTAAGAAAGTGACTAGGACTCATGTTCCTAGTGATCTTCTTCCATAGGTCCTGCTGCACTGGTAGAGAACATCTCTTAAAAGCCTACTGTACTATTACATATCCTTCTTGACAAACACTTCATTAGAATGGAAGTTCTCTCTGGGGCAGAGGCCTCCCCTGTCTCCTGACTGCTAAGTTTAATATATCTACTTCTAGAGTTAAGAATCCTTTGTTCAGAGAGAAACAAGGGAGAGTTCACACAGGTGGTTGTGGTATGAATGGTACCATGTAATTTTGTAAATTTATAAAAGGGTTTTTTTTCCCTGAAAAAGAAAACACACACACACACACACACACACACAAACAAACATTAAAATGTTCGTGTTTTTCCTTTATATAGATTCTGAGCCTTTCCAGAAGTGTAGGAAATCTGTTACTCTGAAAGAATTTGTGATCTAATGCTCAAATAATCTACTGGAGGATTTTGGATGTAAAAACGTTTTTTAATGTGTTTTTCAGATGTCTGTTGACCTTTTGAAATTTTCCCTCCACTTAATTTTAAGGCTCTTAGATTGACTGATTTGAATAAAAAAATTAATGAAGTAAAATTTTTTAATTGAATAAACCAAAAGAACCTAAAGTCTCCCTAGTAAGCCATTATTAATATAGCAAAAAAACAGTTTCTGGAAACTCAGTACCCAAATTGTGATATGTAATAGATGGGGAATGGTGTGTTGATTGAAATATTATGTTAATATAGAGCTACATGCAATATAATCTATTATAATAAAAGTGTTATATGCTAATTAGACTGGACAGCTGAACGACCTTCCGCATGTCCTCCCGGAAGAGGCTGTGGCAGCCGTGGCCAAGGCAGAGTCAGTTAGGGGTGATTAGGCAGGCAGGCAGAGGTGGTTAAGGCAATAAGGCAGGCAGGCAGGCAAGCAGTTAGGGGAGATCACGCAGGCAGGCAGAGAGGTTAGGGGTGATCAGGCAGGCAGGTGAGCTGTTAGGGGTGATCAGGCAGGCAGGTGAGTGGTTAGGGCTGATCAGGCAGGCAGGCAGGGGAGCGATTAGGAGCCAGCGGTCCCAGATTGCACCTAATCCTCTGAGGGGTCCCAGATTGTGACAGGGTGCAGGCCAGGCTAAGGGACCCTACCACCACCACTCCCTGTGCACGAAATTCGTGCACTAGGCCTCTAGTGTCCAAATAGAGAAAAGTAGAATCTATTAACACAAACTATGCTAAACATAATTTTAATGTTTCTTTAATTCATTACACTGGTTAGGAGTATTACATGTCTTATTTTTATGTTTTATAAAATATTTTTCTTAATTTCTTTTACAATTTATTAATATTCTAAATTGTATTAATACTTATGGTGTTCAACATGAGACTGCCAACAATTGATATACTTAAGGAAACAAAATTCTGATTGATTCTGATCTGTTTCTTTCAGAAAGGTCACAACCCATATAATGGAATTTTATCTGATTCTGTAGATCAGATTTCTTCATTCTGGATATTGCGGTAACAATATAGGAAGTATGCATAACTTCTCATCTCTACAAGTAGTCTTGAGTGCTGAAGGAAGAAATTTTTTAAGCTACAGAAGAATTCATTTTGATACCTTTTATGGAATCCTGATTTTGTTTTGAATTTTTTGATAACCTTTTACTAAAGTTATGAACACTCAAAGAACTTATCTCATTGGACAAGTCCACATTAATAAGAATGCCTAGAAGAGGATCGATTCTTCAGACCCGGACCCACTGGTTGCTGTTGGGTCTTGCTTTACTCTGCAGTTTGGTACTGTTTTTGTATCTTCTGGAATGTGCCCCACAGACTGATGGAAATGCATCTCTTCCTGGGGTCATTGGAGAAAATTATGGTAAAGAGTATTATCAAGCCCTACTACAGGAGCAAGAAGAACATTATCAAACCAGGGCAACCAGTCTGAAACGCCAAATTGCCCAACTAAAACAAGAATTACAAGAAATGAGTGAGAAGATGAGATCGTTACAAGAAAGAAAGAATGTAGGGGCTAATGGCATAGGCTATCAAGGCCACAAAGAACAAGCACCTAGTGATCTGTTAGAGTTTCTTCATTCCCAGATTGACAAAGCTGAAGTTAGCATAGGAGCCAAACTACCTAGTGAGTATGGGGTCATTCCCTTTGAAAGTTTTACCTTAATGAAAGTATACCAATTGGAAATGGGTCTCACTCGCCATCCTGAGGAAAAACCAGTTAGAAAAGACAAGAGGGATGAATTGGTGGAAGTTATTGAAGCTGGCTTGGAGGTCATTAATAATCCTGATGAAGATGATGAACAGGAAGATGAGGATGGTCCCCTTGGAGAGAAACTGATATTTAATGAGAATGACTTCATAGAAGGTAATGTGAAAAGTAGTTATGTTAGTATGACAAAATGCTATTATTGTATGCTGGTAAATCAGTAATTTTCCATACTATTAAAACATTTAAGTGTTTACCCACTGCATTCCACCAAAAGTTTGAAGTGGCTTTTTGAAAAAAGTTATCATATGATTGTAATAAAGTAGAGAATAAGAACCAGAAATAGAATAAATCTAAGCTTATATAGAACACTCCTACCCAAGCTGAAAACTCCTAGGGCTGTTTCTGTATTAACGTGTGAATGTATTTGCATTCCTCTTTTATCTAGTTTTGTTCATTCCTTATATTTTTTTTTAACAATGTATGAACTAAGACTCAAGATTCAAAAACCATTTGATAAAGTAATGAAAAAAACTAATTTTGTAGATTAGTGGGTTATTCTCTAATTTGTGAGAGCATTGAGGAGACATACATGGATTTAAAATGCATGTTTGGCATTTGGAAAAGTATTTTCCTGATACAAACTGCAGAAAGGGCATGGGATTTTTATATATCAAGATGGGACATGACTCAAAAGTTGAGGAACACTGCTATGAATTTGAGATATTTGTTGATTGATGTAAACAGGAATAATTACAGATTCCCGCTCATCTCCATCTTAATATTCTGTGCTGGATATTTAATTACAGGCTTAAAACCATTTTAGATATAAATCTTTCTCTTTGCTTGACTAAACAGTGTAGTGATTTTGACCCTGAGTCAGCATGGATGTCACTTGCTATACTGTAATGTATGGCCTTGAGACCTTTGGAGGCCATCAGAGAGAGCATTATACTTTCTGGCATTTCAACTGCCTTCTGTTGCCACCTCTTTTTTCTGCTGTCACTTCCTGCCATTTTCAGTGGGTTGCTTCTCTCAAAATTCTTCCAGTTTTTCTGCAAGCTCAGCGTTTTGTCTTTTCACTCTGTTTGTAGTTTATAGCAGAATTGAAAGCTGCTGAGAAAGATAACTACGTAACGTGTAAAATGTCTTCACATTTCCCTGAAAAGAAAGGAACCAGTGCCAGTTTCATATTCTGCTTATAACTTTCCTTGGATTCTGTCACTTACAAGATATTTCTCTGTGTGGAGTATATTTTGTCCCTCGTTTTTCCTCCACTGTGATACTCCCTCACCAAAAAATAATTACTGACAACTGAGCAATTCCTATTCCTCTTTCCAGACTTAAGCTTAGAAGACACTTCTGGGAAGTCATCTCCAACCTGCGAGTCTAAGATAACAGTGCTTCCTGTGTGCACTTGTAACCTCTGCCTGTGTCTCCTCTCATAGTTCTTGTCTTATGGTATTGCTCATTTCCTGATTTGTGGTTCCTGCTTGACTGTAATTCTCAGGAAGAGTGGGAACGGTCTATCTCCGTTTTATTCCCAGACACTGACTCACACATCTGTAGGGCTAACCTTTCTCCTCAGTGTCACACTTAAAAATCAGCCCAGTAGACTTCCATGTTTTTCTCCCAAAGGCATCTCTGTTTAAATCTATACTGATGTTTTCTTTGTCTGACTTTACTGTATTCAGGTAGGTGTGTGTGTGTGTGTGTGTGTGTGTATGTGTGTGTGTACATGTGTGTATCACTATATTATTCTTTATTTTTCTGTCTCCGTCACTAAATTGATCCTTACTCAAAACTGGGACCATGTAGCCCTCTTTATACCACCAGTGATTGACACAAAGGCATTCAATTTATTTTTTGTTGAGTTGAACCAAGCAATAGAAATTTGAACTCTCAGGACTAGAATTTAATATTGCTAGAAATAATTTTCTTCTTTTCATCAGATGGTCAATAGGCTTTACTATTTTAAAAATCATATGTAAAAAGGAATAAGTGTCATATAAAGCCTATGTTATAGATTGAATAATAATATACAGAGCCATGAACATTTTTTAATATCTCCTTTTATAAAGAAACTAGAGGTCCAGTGCACAAAGTTCATGCACGGGTAGGGTCCCTAGTGGCTGCCAGCTGCTGGCCAGGGCCTCCCTTCCCTGGCTGCTGGCAACCAGGGGTTACACGCCATCCCCTGGTTGGTGGTCAGCTCACGTCATAGCCATCAATTGAACTCCTGGTCAGTCGAACTCCTGAGGGGACACTTTGCATATTAGGCATATAGTTATCCCCACAACTATTTATGTATATAAATAGTGGGGATAAATAGTGGGATAAATATTTTCACAAACAGATAAAAACCCTACAGATCTGGTTTCATACTTTTGATCTTCGAGTAAAATCAGTATTCACATTGAATGTATAAACTTTGACATGGAGACATCTTTATCCCTTACTCTTTCCTTTAGGTTATTACCGCACCGAGAGAGATAAGGGCACACAGTATGAACTCTTTTTTAAGAAAGCAGATCTTATGGAATATAGACATGTGACCCTCTTCCGCCCTTTTGGACCTCTCATGAAAGTGAAGAGCGAAATGATTGACATTACTAGATCAATTATTAACATAATTGTGCCACTTGCTGAAAGAACTGAAGCATTTGTGCAGTTTATGCAGAACTTCAGGTAACTCTCAGGGCTTAATGATTTTTGGCTTAGTGTGCCTGAAAAAAATTACACTTCACTTATTTATCTTCACTGAATATGATTACTTAGAATTACAGGATAATTTTATAGGCTTTAGGCAACTTTACTTTTTAATATATTTTTTAAAACATGATTAGCTTATTGTTTTTTTGACAATTTGAACTGTGAAGTAAATTGAGGATGACAACTATGAGAAACTAAATTTGATGACCCTTATAAATGTGTGTGAATTTTTTTTAGGGCAAGTTGAATTTTTAAAAATAACTATAGAGGCATAATTTCCATATAATAAAATCCACATATTTTATGTATATGGGTTTCATAACTTTTGACAAATGTATACTCATGTAGCTACCTCCCTATTCTAAGTATAGAACATTACTATCTCCTCAGAAAATTTCCTTAAGGACAATTTGAATTTTAAAATTAAAATAAAATTCTAAAATACAAACATTTAAAAATGGGAGAATGTTATTCTATGTTGGGAAGCAGAGGCAAAGAATTTTTTACCACTTAATTTGGATATTTTAAAATCAAAGATAACTACATATTAAAATAACTATCTGGAGAGTTTTGCTTTTTTATTCTAGTAATTGCCATGTTTTAAGTACTGTAATATGCTAGTTTTGATGCTTTGTATACCCAGTCTTTATACTCATATTGAAATTGATGGATTTAAAAGTTAACACTCTTGTGTAGCAGAATATCTAGAAGTCATGTTTGAAATAGCTCACTTGAGACCTCTTTTTTTATTGCCTTTCTTGGAATTACCTTCAGAAACTACATTATTCTTTACAGTAAATCTCACTCATGGCAAATATTCCTTGATGATAGGTGTAACTTCTGATATTAGCCAGTCTGAAGACAAAGTAATTCTCAAATCAGAAGATGAGTATTTATTTGTCTCTGAACTGATTGGACTTACTTCTTTGAGTAGCTTGTATTTTGCTTGTGAAGGCAATACCAAAGCAAAAGTTCCCAAACTATTTTGAAAATTGGCAATGTTGTTGGAGTGCTCCCATGGCCCTTTCAGTACTGCACTCGTTTAAGACATACATATTACTATTCATTTGCTTTGATGCCTTAATAATTCAACAGTATTGCCACTTTTATATTTACTTACAACTTCGTGTGATTTTCTTTTAAATTAGTAATGCCTCATTCATTTTCTTGTTGAAGCTTCATATGATTGCTTTCTGAATGAGCAGAGCCTCGTATATTTTCTTGAATGAACTTTATTTTTCAATTCTGTTAGGGATGTATGTATTCATCAGGACAAGAGGATCCATCTCACAGTGGTGTATTTTGGTAAAGAAGGATTGTCTAAAGTCAAGTCCATCCTAGAGTCTGTCACAAGGTAGGTGAGCTATGTCCACTTAGAAGTCCTTGATAGATAACGTTAGAAGAGTGAGAATGTCAGATATTTAATGAGTTAATTTGGAATAGTTGCTGTTTAAAAGTTGGCTGAGCATGTGAGTGGTGCTGATAAGTTCCTCATTTCACTTCTAGGTTCACTCATGCAACTCTAAATGCCCCATCTTCACTAACTTCCTAGCAGAAGCCTGGCATGATCAGGGAGCTCTCACTCTGCAGCCCACTCACTTTCTGTATGTTTGCCTCCATTTATTACTTCTTTATTTCCTCCTGTGAACTCTTTCTCTTTTTCTAAATCTAATCCCTTCACTTTGATATCATCTCTTGAGCTTATCTCTTGTTACCTGTCTTTCCATTTCCCCAAGTTCCTTCTTCTCACCCTGTATGCTCTCCCCTTATCCTTATGACACTTCCACTGGACTCTACAGTATCCAGTAGCTATTGTTAGGTCCTGTCCTTTCATAGCTAAACCTCACAGGACAGTAGTTCTCTAATCAAACAACTCATATAGTACCTGGCACATAGTAGGTGTTCAGAGGTTAGAATGAATGAATTCTTTGATATTCCATTATTAATTCCATAGCTCCTCTCAGAGGTTAGAATGAATGAATTAGTAATTCCTTAATACTTCATTATTAATTCCGTAGCTCCTCAGCCTTTTCATCTTTAAGGACCTACTTGCCAAATTAAGCTTTTTCTCTGTCATCTTTTTAAAAATATATATTTTATTGATTTTTTTACAGAAAGGAAGGGAGAGGGAAAGAGAGTTAGAAACATCGATGAGAGAGAAACATTGATCAGCTGCCTCCTGCACACCTACTACCGGGGATGTGCCTACAATCAAGGTACATGCCCTTGACCGGAATTGAACCTGGACCTTTTAGTCTGCAGGCCAACGCTCTATCCACTGAGCCAAATCGGTCAGGGCTCTGTCATCCTCTTTTATCACTTTTTTACGTTTGACACCTGATGAATACTTTCTTCTTGAAACATTCCTCTGCTCTTTGTAAAATATAAATAAATATTTTGTAAATGTAAATATTTTATAATGTAAGATATTAAGTTGATTTTCTTTTCTGACCACACCAATTCTGTATCCTTTACTTGCTTCTTTGCCTTTCTGCTAGTTGTGGACTTTCCATAGAAATCCAGATTTAGTTGGTCATTCAACTAATTTTCACTGAGTCCCACCAGCTGTGTTCAAGGTACCCTGCTTAGGAGCCTAACTGGGGAGTAGAAATAGGACTGGGCATGGAAGAGGAAATTGTAGTCCCTATTTCTAAGGGCTCTCTCATAGCACTGATGTGTAAAAACAAACATTGCCTTCTCCTCCTGGTGGCGCTCTTTCCGTTCACACTAAGACCATTCTCATGATCCCCTGAGATGTTGATGTCTGAGAGCCCACATCTTTCACTCATTCTCTGCCTCTAATTAGTTCCTCTTCTAGGTCGTTTTCTTGCTGCTGTCACCACCCACCTTCCCTCCCCCACCCCTTTCTTCTCTTCCCTCCTCACCATTTTCAGATCACCCACTAAGTGCCAAGCACTCACACTGGTATTCCTTCAGCTGCATTAATCAAAACTCCCCTATGTAAATGATGGAAACCAGTCCTGAGCTTGCTTAAGGAAAATGAGTGTTATTGAAGACTCTTGAATAATTCGCAGAACTAAAGAGGTCATTAAACCAAATTTGGAGATGAAAACCAAATCCTCTTTGATATCTTTAGGTACTGGAACCAGAGACTTGAAAATTATCAAAATTCTCTTGTCTTCTTGTCTATTTTTCTTTGCATTGACTTCATTCTCCTCTTGGATATTTCCTCCACATGTGAGGTGTATGGCTGTTGGCAGCTCTGGGCTCACTTCTCAGTTTTGCCATCAGGGAGGAAAGAGCTTTCTCCCGCATCCAGTTGAGGAAATCCCAGGGAGGAACCTTGCCTTCTCTTGAGCCAATCATTATAGCCAGGTGGCGGTATTGTGATTAGCCTAGCTTGAGTTTGGACTATGCTTCTAGGAAATTACTATGGTTGGGGTGCTCTATGATTACTTCCTCTACTTGCTGCTGGGAGTGTGAGGTGTTGCTCAGCAGTTTCCCAAAAGTAGGGAAAGATGTATATCTGCTAAGAAGGGGAGCATGGCCACTCAGCACTTGGAGTCCACTCCATACACTATTTAAGCCTTTGCTTCCATCTCTCCATTTCCCTGTCTATATTATTATAAGAATGTTTTTTTCTGAAAGGTTCCTTTTTGATCCGACCATACTCTAGTGCGGCAGTACTCCAGTTCATCAGAGACACCTGGAAGGCTTATTAAGCCACAGATGCTCAGCTCCTCCACCAGCATCTGATCCAAGAGTCTGGGTGGGACCCAAGAATTTGCATTTCTCACATGTGTGCAGGGGAAGCTGATGCTCCGCTTGCAGAGATTTCATAGTGAGAACCACTGCCCCGATGGCAAAACCCTGACTCTTGCTTGCCTTTAAGACACTGACCAAGATCTTTACTTTCTTCTCATGGAAAGTGCTCCTCAGTCTGACCCTTTTCTGATTTTCTCTCATTGTTCCCATTCTTTGCCAATTTGATTTGTCTGACCCCTGTTCTTTAAAATGTTTTATACTTTCTTCTTACCTCATCGCCTTTGAGAATAATTAATTGGAACAACCTTTACACTCGCCACTGAATTCAGGATTTTAACCAAGGCATAATTTAAATTCCAATTCTAACATTATCTCTACTCCAGGTAGAAGCAAACTTTGTTTCTCAGAACTGCTGTTTATTCATTTACTCAGCAAACATTTACTGAACTCCTGCTCTATGAGGGACACTGTGTCCATAGTAATGAGCAAAACAGAATCCCTGCTCTCATGGAGTTTACATTCCAGTAGGGAGACACTCAAATATGTCTGGTAGGACTGAGAAAAGCAAAGCTGGACAAGGGGATAGAGACGAAAGAGAAGGAGGTTGGAGCTACTTCACATAAGGTATGTGGGGTAGCTCTCTAAGAGGAATTTGAGCAAAGATCTGAAGAACTCAATGGAAGAGCATTCTTTGTGTGTATCATTCATGTGGAATGTATTATTTATGACCAAACATTATGGCTGTTTTCCCATGTGTACATTTCTTATCTTCTCCAATAGGCCTTTAAGATTCTGAAGGGCAGTGACCCCTCAACATTTAAAAGCCTCACACCACCATCATGTTGCCACACATGTAGGCATTTAGTGAATATATATCCCTGATGATGATTATACACATGAAGCTGATGATTTCCTTTCCCTATATGAATGTAGAACCAACATAATAATATCTGAAATGTAACTGTAAGTTGTAATGAAGGAAGAGAGTTATTAAACTTTAAGTGGGACTTATAATTTGTTATATGTGCTTTCCTCATAGTGAGTCTAATTTTCACAATTACACCTTGGTCTCATTGAATGAAGAATTTAATCGTGGACGAGGACTAAATGTGGGTGCCCGAGCTTGGGACAAGGGAGAGGTCTTGATGTTTTTCTGTGATGTTGATATATATTTCTCAGCCGAATTCCTTAACAGCTGCCGGTTAAATGCTGAGCCAGGTGCGTAAAATGATAGTAGCTGAGCTGAGTGTAGGTCAGCATGTTGCATATTTTGAATTAAGTTAATTATGTTTTATTAAAGTTATATTTTAATATAATCTGATACCTTATATAAAGGTATAGTTTAACAATATTATGTCAAAAAGTGAAAATTTGTCCCTCTAAAGTTCATACCCCTTGTTCTCTTATGGCCAAATTCTAATGTCTACATTTGAATGCAAACAAACAAATGCAAAGAAATAAAAAGTCTTGAAATTGGCAAGGAGGAAGCAGCACCCATCAGAAAAAGAGCCAAGCCAACTGTGTAGAGATATGGGAAAGTCAAAAGCACTCCGTGTCAGGTGATGGCACCAGTACACACACAGCATTCACACATGCTTGGTCTCCAGACGGTGCATTTGGCATGATTTACTATATTTTGCTTTATGTTATAGATATTTTTAAGATGTATGAGCAAACAGTATTTTTATAAATCAAATCTATAAATGCTTTTTAAATCTTTTTAATGTAATTTAAGTCTTGAAAAGGTTTCCTGTATTTTAAGAATCTCATAGTGGGGTTTTTCAATGTAGAACTATTTATATCATACAGATTATTTCCACCTTATTAATTTGGTGGGATGTCAAGAACTCTCTTAGAGTCTATTGAGTAAGCAAGGGTTAGGTTTAAGACAGCATGAAGTTCAAAATGTGTAAGTTGAAGGAGATACTTGCTCAATGTGAAAGAAATGTTTTTATATCCAGAAATAGATTTGCCTCTGGGAGACTGAGCTCCTCATCCCTAAGTGGGTTTTAAGGAAAGTGAGATTAGTATCTGGTAGGATTCTTGTAATAAGAAGGCTACTGCCTTACATACAGGGTCCTTGACAACTACTGAGCACTTTGTATTATCTCGTCTGATTGAGGCCAATCTGAGCAAGGGGTCCCTGTTAAGAGATGGGATATTTAGCTTTTAAGGTTCCTTCAGTGCTCTCAAGCTGAATGATAATGACAAGAGTTTCTGCAGGGGCTATTACATCAGGTATTTTTTATTCTTGCCTTTCCAACTTTTCCAAATCTTGTTCAAATATATCTGTAGTTCTGTGTTTTCATTATTTTCTATACATCCGTTCTCTGTACAGTATTCTTTGGATTTACTAACTGTTTCTATGGTTAATTTTGAAGGGTGAATTCAACATAAGTTTCTTGGTGACTGCCAAAGTTAACCTGTATATTCCTGCTAATTAGATGAAATAATGAGTAATAAATGGCTCACCTAATGAATAGCTGAGAGAATACCTTTGTGTATCTGCCCAAAGTCAAGGGAATAAATGTGTGGAGCAGCCTTTAGTGTGTTTTATTTCCTCTGTTGTTTTTCAAGGTTATAGTTCCATAGCCTTGGGACTACTGATATGTTATAAAATCATGTTTATCAAATCATAGGATGATCAGTAGCCTGAATATTAATAAAATACAATATTGATATAATAAAATTGCCATATGGGATCAAAGAAAAACTTGAACAAAATATTAGTAGATATTATAATATAGATCAGTCTTTCATTTTATGACTTCTTTGTGTGATATAAATGTACATTTTAATTTATAGGTAAGAAGGTGTTTTACCCTGTGGTGTTCAGTCTTTACAACCCTGCCATTGTTTATGCCAATCAGAATGCGCCCCCTCCTGTGGAGCAACAGCTGGTAAGACTATTGCTGTATTATAAAAGGCCCCAAAGATCCTTTCTAGGTTCCTTTATATTTGTTCCACAAGTAGTTAACAAAATTTCAATAAAAAGCTGTAGTTATGCCCTAATCAGTTTGGCTCAGTGGATAGTGTCAGCCTGTGGACTGAAGGGTCCCAGGTTCAGTTCTAGTCAAGGGCATGTACCTTGGTTGCGGGCACATCCCTAGTAGTGGGTGTGCAAGATCGATGATTCTCTCTCATCGTTGTTCCTAACTATCCCTCTCTCTTCCTCTCTGTAAAAAAGCAATAAAATATATTTTTTTAAAAAGAAGAAGAAGAAAGCATATTTGTATTGGAGAATTAGAGAATTACCATTAATAGTGTAAAGTTTGAGACATTTATGTAAAATGGCAGTTGATATAGGATTCGTGGAGGAGAGAACAATCTAGGACATGTTCAGGAGGACATGCTGGAATATGTATGCTTGCTGCTTTCTCCAGGGGGGTGCTAATCAGCAGTCATCTCAGAGATTGGCCTGCAGTCTGAGGCAGTGTGTATAGCCTTGGAGCCAGAAAGTTGGGGCAGGATACTGAGAATATAGGAAGGATATAGGGAGCCTCAGAATGTGAAGATGAGCTACTGTTGATACGTTGTACCTTAGTCCATGTTCAGCCCCCCCCACCACTCCCTTCCACTGTTATTGGAGAGAGGCCCCTGTAATCATAGCTAACAGCCATGGGTTTTGAACAATGATTTTTGTAACAAAAGTGAGTAGCACTTAACTAAGACCAGCCAGACACTTGGGGAAAACCAGTAACATGAAAGAGGCAGGGACTTTGTCACCTCTTACTCACTGCTGTGTCCCAGCTCCCAGAACTATGTCCACAGATTAAACACAGTGCATGTAACAGTGGAGTATGAGTAAAATAAAAGAGGTTTATCAGGCTTCAACTTTTATTTGACTCTGGGGCCTCAGTGTCATCAAAGCCCTGAGTTTCTTTCTTTGGTTGGGCTTCAGAAATGACAGCTTTATTTCAAAGCGGGTTTCCCTCATGCTGTAAAAGGACTGTAGCAGTTCCAAATGTTGCTATACCCTACACCTGGGATTGGCAAACTTACTCTGTATAAAGCCACATAGAAAATACTTGGGGGTTTATAGGCTATACAGTCCCTGTTGCAATTATTCAACTCTACCATTGTACCATGAAAGCACATAGGAAATTTGTAAACAAATGAGTATGACTGCATTCCAGTAAAAGTATTATATTTACAAAACCCGGTGGCAGGCCAGACTCAGCCAGGAGGCTGAAATTTGCTGACTTCCCTACACCATTCAAAAAGTGCAAGTGTCTTTTCTAGTAGCTTTCTCAAAAGGACAGGAGGCTTTGTTTCTAAAGTTCTCAACAACACTCCCCTTTTTTCTAATGTCCATTTATGAACCAATTCCTACAGTAAGTGGGGTGAGACTGTCATATTGGTATAGAGTCCTCATTGCTCCATCTGAAGGTAGAGTTGGAAGTAGTTTAGTTGAAACTTACGGTTGCATGGGACCCAAACTCTATATAATCAGGAAGGGAATAGGGGAATGGCTGCTGGGTAGGCACCAAATAAGGCCCACTCTGTAGAACTGATCACAGTGTATTACAGTATGTGCATCTGTTGTGCTCCTGGATTGAATGAGGCCCTTGAGGTCAGGCACCACAGTTTGATTATTAGTAACCTCGGCTTGCATCTTGTACAGGGCTTGAATTCAAATGTTGAAAGCGGCCAGATCATTGCTTATGGGGAATACTTATGCAAGGTGTGGGGAAAGAGTAGGTTTATAGTTGTGAGTATGCAAAACACAGAGTTTATTTTATTATGAGTTATTATATTATTTTCCATATAAACAACTGTAAACCTATTTTCCCCCCACTCTATATTTTTTGGTTTTATAAGGATTTAATAATATAAATACGTGTTTTCATTATCAATCATATAAATGACTGGAAAATTATTTGGAAAGCATTAATTTCTAATTGTTGATTAAAACTTTTTCTAGTCCTTAAGGGACTCGTTTTATTTATTTATCTTTCTCTAACATAAGGTTCACAAAAAGGATTCTGGCTTTTGGCGAGATTTTGGCTTTGGAATGACTTGTCAGTACCGATCAGATTTCCTGACCATTGGTAAGTATACCTGACATTTAAGGATAGGACTTTATGAATTTATAGTACTACCTTAGGGCAATTTTTAAAAAGTTTCAGATTTGAGTATTTTTCTATTAAATTATAAATGTCTAAGAATAGCTGAAAAGAGGAGTCTGGATATAGGAAAGGCAACATGAGTTTATAATTATTGTCTTTAAATAGCAAAAATGATGTTATAAAGATAAAATAAAAGTGTAATATATTATTGTTTCTTTAAAACACTAGTTTTGATATCTGTGTGACTTGTTACGATGTTTGCAGTTGATTTGAGTTCTCTAACAAAAGATCTGTTGTAATCATGGATTGTTACAGCAGAAAGTAATGTTGAGTTATCTAGTCAAGGGCTTTTGTATTTTTTATTGGGAAATGAAACCCCCTTTATTTGTCTATTGAACTGTTATGCAAAATCCTAGTATCTAAAACAAATGAAAAAACAGCTGCTCTCTCTGGCACTGGTTGAAGTTGGAATGGGGGACTAGGAGTTACTAGCTTAGTTCCCTAAGCCAGAAATGACCATGAAGAATTTGATTGAAGCTCTCTGCCCCACCCCGACTCCATTCTTAACCATCAGAAAACAGTGTCAGCGATAGTTTCAGAAAGCAGGGTAAGACTTCCAGTTATTATAGCAAAATAAGTGAACACTGTTTGCCTTCTCCCACAATTACATCAAAACTACAACTAAATTACAGAACAATCACCCTTGAGAACCACCTGAAGACTAGGTAAACAGAACTCCTATATATAAGGAAATAAAGAGAAGTCATGTCGGGACTGTCACCTGGACAGTGTTGTATAACAGGCTAGTTCACATTGTCATGTGAATTAGGATGGACATTTTGTCCATAGAGGTCTCCCCTGATCCCAGCCCCACACCAGACTCTGCAGCCCAGACCACCAGTGCTAGGGGCAGCAGCTTAAGAAACACCAACGACAAACAGGGAGGAACTGAATTGTCAGGCTTTGGGGTGAGCATTGAAGGGACAGGTCTGTCCAAGACAAGTGCTGGCAGGCACCATTTTTCTTTGTTGAGCCTTTCCCCGACCCAGCCTGCAGATGACAAATCTGAGACTTCCGTGAAACTAGATAACACAATTCTCACCACACTGCTGATGCCCTGAGACCTGCCCCACCCAACCTGTGCACAACATCTTTCAGGAACTGTTCCTCACAAGCAATGGGCTGCAACCCATGCTGTGAATTCCCTTAAATCTCTGAAAAGTCCTCATACCCCAAACAAGCATCAGTTGGCTGCAGCATGCCCTGTACTTCTTGCTAAGTGACCTCAGCCTGGCACTAACAGCAGCCTGCCTTGATTCACAGCATAACCACAACAGGTACCTCCAAGTACAGAACAGGCAGCTACCAAGGACTGATCACTTTGTACCTCCTACCAACTGGCTTCAGGTAGGCTGACCTGAGCCTGCACTGGAGCCTTCCCAAGAGGTCCCAGGACCAACAGAGCCAAATGCCCTCTTTCTTGTGTGGAGACCACACTAGAGCACCAACTAATTAGCTCCAAAAAGACACACCACAGGGAGGGCTCCAAAGAACGCAGAGTCACACTACAGCAAATCCCATTTTGAGGGGTCAACTGCCACTCAACAGCCCATCTGTAATCACAGCCAATCCTCACAGCCAGTTAGCTAGAGAGTCAGTTCTACCCACTGATGTGCCAACAGCAATCAAAACTTAACTACAATGCATGAGAACACACAACCCACACAAAGGACAGCCACTGGGCCCCACAAGAAACCTACTACATAAGGCCAACCTGCCAAGACTTGGAGATGTAGCAGATCTACCTAAAATGTAGTCTACCAGATATAGAGGTGAAAACACTATAAGGATGTTCAAGAACTTAGGGGAAGAATAGATGAACAAGTAAGACCTTACACAAAGGGACAGAAATCATAAAAAAAGAACAAGTCCGAGGCCTAAGTGGAAGTTACACTTACTTCTTCCCAATACCAAACTGGAATTACAATAAAAATATGGAACAGTCAACCTGAATAACCAACTGAAGACTGGCTGAACAGAATGCTAATGCTCACAGGTTTACAGAAGAAGCCACGTAGAGACTGGCAGGTGGGGCAGAGGCACAAAAAGGGCTGGCAGCCACTTCCACTGGTGGTGGCTGAGATTCCTGAGGGGTAGCTCAGCTGCAAAGGTTCTCCCTTAGGAGTTTGTGTCAACCCCACACTGGTTCCCCAGACCACCACGTGTTATGTGGAAGAAGCACCCACATAATCTCTGGCTGTGAAAATCAGCAGGATTCTGACCACTGGGGCAAGACGGAAGTCTGCTAGAGACCCAGGCACCCTCTTAAAAGGTCATCACACAAGATCTCATTCTCTGCCGCTAACCCTAGGCTCTGGCAGAAGGAAGGCAGAGCAGATGAGAATCCTGTGAGGATAGACTGGGTTTTGTGGCTCCAGAGAGAGAGCTGCAGGGATAGCTGCCAGGGTCCCTGTGCTTAGTTCCTTTTACACATTGCAGATGCCATCTTTCTTATGTGGAGCTCACCTTTCTAAATGACATCAGCCTGGGAGAATGCAATAGTCCCACCAGCTCATACCCTGCAGAGGAATTGGCTGCTGGTCCTAGGTGTATATGTCTGGGCAGACTCAGGGCATGTCAGTGACTGAGTTGTGTGGGCAAAGGCCATTTTCCCACCATCCTGGTGGCGTGACTAGCACCTCCCACTAAGGGGAGATCCACCAGCTCCACCCTTCGGATTTTTGGTGGTCCTGCACTCCTGATCTTCAACTCTCTGGGAGGTCCAGGCAGAATCTTGCACGTGCTGAGTTGTGTGACTCTAGGCCAGGGCCATTTCTCCCTCACACATCTGACCATTGCAGAGCCCTCCCTTCACACAGCCAAATCTTGGTCTCTTTGGGCATCATAAACTCTGCTGGCCTCATCCTCTGACTCCCTGACACCCCACCCTACCACAAAGCTCTGCCGGCACTGACTAGTTGTAGTACTCTTGTTGTACTATGGGACTTTTGCTGAGTGGCCACAGACTCAGCACTGACATGGAGGTTGAACCTGTATTGAGCTGGTGGACACCACTCGCCCCCGTTTGGTGACTCACTGAAAACCTAGCCCACACAAGCAAGTACCACCAGAGGCTCCTTCGGAAACTAGCCTAACCAACAGGGAAAGCAGGCAGAGGCAGACGCATTGGCCTTGTACTGACCTGCCCTCAGGCTTCATGCTGGTGGAAGCTATCCTTGGGGTACAGTTTGGTTCTCATGCAGAGGCAGCCACAAAGTAGATCACTTTGTAACTTCAAACAGGTTGCCCAGGGCCAGTCACAATCAGCCTCTGCTACTGATCTGCACCGGACTCCCTCCCAGGAGTCCCCAGAACCAACACACCCAGTTGAGAGCTTCACACAACATCAGAGCAGGACCAGCTAACTTCAGAAGTGGCACATCCAAAGGGAGATCTCAACAGGCTCCAGAACTTACTGAATCAAATGCTGCTGTGTGTTTGGTCAGCACCACACAGGAACAAATACAAAGAGGCAGCAAGATGAGGAGACAGATAGCATGCCCCAAATGAAAGAACCATAAAAAGAACTGGTCAGAAAGTAGAACAATATCTGAAATGAAGAGTGTACTAGAGCTCTTGCTGGTTTTGCCCAGTGGATAGAGCATTGCCTGTGAACTAAAAGATCCTGGGTTTGATTCCAGTTTGATTCCCGGGTTGTGGGCTCAATCCCCAGTGGGGAGCTTGCAGGAGGCAGCCATTCAATGATTCTCTCTCATTGTTGATGTTTCTATCTTTCTCTCCCTCTCCCTTCCTCTCTGAAATCAATAAAAATAAATAAAAAATTATTTTTTTAAAAAGAATACACTAGAAGGAATAAACATTAGGTTAAATGAAGCAGAGGATTGAATTAATGATATGGAAGACAAGGTAACAGAAAACACCAAATCATAGTAGCAAAAAGAAAAATAAATTAAATTAGGATAGTTTAAGGGACCTTTGGAACAACCTGAAGTGTAACATCATAGAGGTACCAGAAGGAGAGGAGCCAGAGGCATTGAGAATCTATTTGAAGAAATACTCTTTGTGCTTCTTAAAAAAGTTTTTTGTTTAGCTCAGACTAGTCTCAACTTTAACTCCCATTTCCTGTGCCCCTCTAGTTAGCCCTCTTCCCCATTACTCCATCAGAATGGTCTGCGTGAGGTTATATGTGATATTTATGGTTAATTTTATGTTCTTAACTGAGCAGCTGCATATACTTGACCATTTCTTCCTCAAGACACTCTTCACTCACCCCTGTGATATTTTCTCCCTCCTCTGGGGCCATTTCTTAGTCTCTTATCTTTCTCTGCCTATTTAACCTCTAGATGTTGGCAATTCTATTTAGACCTGGGCTCTGCTTTCCTTGTAAACCAATCAGTCATTTCATCCATTCCTTGTGGCTTTAAATCATTTGTGTACTTCTCTCTCCAGCTTAGCCATTTCTTCTATTTTCCCCTCTGGTAAGTGTTATGTAATCCAGAAATGTGATAAAATACTAAAGGTGGTGAGGTTATGGGTGATATATATTTCCTTCTCCTTTACTTGACTTTCTAAAGATTTTCTATAGATCTTTGAAGTTTACAAAGCAATCTCAAATATGTATTTAATTTAATTTGATTTCAACACTCTTAAAAACAGTCCTTGAGCACCTAGATGTCACCTGGTAACGGGACTTCTTTAGTTGAACTGTTCTGCTGCCAGGCAGTTACTGAGAGTGTTAATTTTGATGCTACAGGTGGATTTGACATGGAAGTTAAAGGTTGGGGTGGAGAAGATGTTCATCTTTATCGAAAATACCTGCACGGTGACCTGATGGTGATTCGGACCCCGGTTCCGGGGCTCTTCCACCTGTGGCATGAGAAACACTGTGCTGACGAGCTCACCCCCGAGCAGTACCGCATGTGCATCCAGTCCAAAGCCATGAATGAAGCCTCTCACTCGCACATGGGCATGCTGGTCTTCAGGGAAGAGATAGAGACACATCTTCGCAAGCAGGCATACAGGACAAACAGCGAAGCTGCTGGTTAACGTAACCATTGACACGGTAGTCCGAACCACAAACCAGCACTATTTATTGAGCCTTAATTCCAGTGCCAGACGCAGTGCCTCTTTCAAAGAATACATGCTTATCTTCTGTGCTCTTTCTGACATTACCTTAGCAGTATAACTTCATATGAGAAGGAAAAGCAACTGTTTGAATGCAAAGCCTGTTTTGTGAGATTATTGCACTATGGAATCATTGATAAATCAAAATTTGCTGTTTGGTTCCCAAAGTAGTTTTGAGTTAGTTTGTACCCTGCATCCATGCTCTGAGGTTTCTGGTTGCATCTGGGCTAAGTGATGGAATGTGTTGTGAAGATGGTCAGTAAGGAGATCCCTTTCCCTCAGAGGTGGAGTTAAGGATGGAGTGTCTGGACAAGGGTTCTTCCTTTACCACTGAGTCAACTTGCTTGGTTTATATTTTTATTTTTTTATTAAAGAAAAGAGAGGAGAGAGAGAGAGGGAGAGGGAGAGGGAGGGAGGGAGGGAGGGAGGGAGAGAGAGAGAGAGAGAAACATCAATCAGTTGTCTCCCATATGCACCCTGACTGGGGATTGAACCTGCAACCTAGGTATGTGCCCTAACCAGGAATCAAACCCGCAACCTTTGGTTGGTTGGTATAGGGGACATTGTTCCAACCAACTGGGCCACCCAGCCAGGGCTATGGTTTTTAAAAGGAGATCTTTGGTCAGTTTGCTTGAAGAATCCTTTTTCAGTGAAGCAGAAGTCAATTATATGACACAGCTGAAATCCCCAGTCAGGAGGAGACAGAAGTAAAAACTCAACTTCATTTTGCTTAGTCCCCTCAATGTTTGTTTTTAAACAAATGGTTTTAGTGGGAAATACTTAGATGAGAATCCATGACTTGATTAAAACATGAAGTGTTATAACTTTGTCATCATTTTTGGGATTAGAAATCAAGTTGCTGTACACTATTTTGAACAAACTGAAATCCACATGGGAACGTCTTGACAGACACTTACTGTGTTGGAGTGCAGGACACTAGTGAGTCTGGGAGCATCGCGTACATGAGCCTGGACACTATCAGGGTGGGTGGTTCAGAATAGATGAGCATAGCATGGTGGTGTGTGTTTTTGTCTGGTCTCATTTAGCATGGGTTTATATGTATTTACTGTCCTTTTGTCCTAACAAGGTAATATATGCTGCATATGCATTTGTATTATTATAATACTTTGAGAGTTTCATGAAGAGAGAAAAAACAATGAGGTATGCCATAAGATCACACTGATTTGAGAAAAGGGGAAGCAGTATAAAATCTGAATTATAGAATTTTTTAAAAGATATGTATTACTTGCAGATAGAATGATGTTTTGAGGTATAAATTATATTAATGAGACAGATGAATAAGAAATTATATTCAGATAGGACTATACTATGTTATTTATCACACATGGATCTTTTACCATAGGGTCAATTGCTAGATCCAGAAATTGGAGATATGGTGAAAGGCGTGTATAGATTTTTGAATCTTTGGTTTTTAAAAAGGGACCTGTGCTGTATTCTTTCCATTTGTATATAAACCTCTGAAAATCACAGAAGAAAAATCATTTCTCTTTTGGCTCAGTAAATCATACCATCTGAAATATTATAAATTCTAAATTTCTTGGTGCTACATGAATTCAATTTTATAATAACTCTTACTAATTATTCATATGTTTTAAGTTGGGATAGCACTTAGGCTTGTTTTATTTTTGAAGATATGTAAAATGTCCTGTGCAAAATTATTCAGGCTGTTGTCTCCTTTTTATACAAGTATTTATTATGAAGACCAGTGAAAAGTGAGGGAAACTAATAATTTGCAAAGGTAAGTTTCAGCTTGTTTCTTGATATAAGCAAATTATTTTATCTTGTTTTTTTAAAACTAGCTTTTAATTTAAAGATGGAAGCTAAACAATGAAAACAGTACTATGTTTTTGACATTAAATGGTACCAATAAAGTATTTTTTATCAAAAATTAAATGAAAATGTGATAAATTTTCTTTTTGTTGTGAAATATCATAAGTATAGAAGTGTGTAAAGCATGTAATTATGTACTTAAAAGGAATAGAACATTACCAGTGAAAGGTCTTCTGTGTGCCCTTCTCATCACTTCCTGATTTTTGTGGTAATTTTTCTTCTTTTTTTTTTTTTCTTCTATTTTTTGTTTTTTTGTTAATCTTCAACAAAATGTATTTTTTAAATTGATTTTTTAAAGAGTGGAAGGAAAGGGAGAGACAAGAGAAGCATCGATGTGAGAGAGACACATAAGTTGATTGCCTCCCACACACACTCAACCTTGGCCAGTGGGCCAGGTATTGAACCTACAACCCAGATATGTGCCCTTGATAAGGAATTGAACATGTAACCCCTTGGGTGTGTGAGCTGATACTCTAACCACCGGCCAGGGCCACTTGTTTTTTTTCTTAGTTTTCTCAACTGTGTATGTGTCTCTACCCAATGAACTGCTTAGTTTTGCCTGTTTAGCTTTGCAAATCCTTACCTGAGGACATGTGTGCTGATTTTAGAGAGTGATGGAGAGAGAGAAAAACAGCAGTGTGAGAGAGAAACATCAATGTGAGGAAGAAACATTAATAGGTTGTCTCCATATGTACCCCAATTGGGGATTGAACTCACAGTGTAGGTATGTACTCCCACCAGGAATCAAACCACAGCCCCTTTGCTAAAAGGACAATGCTCCAACCAACTGAGCCACCCTGCCAGGGCTTTTTTGCCTGTTTTTGAATTTATATACATACTACAGGCCTCGGACGTAGGGGGTCCCCTCAGCCCGACCTGCACTCTCTCACAGTCCAGGACCCCTCTGGGGATGTCCCTGTGGGACCAGGCCTAAACCAGCAATTGGACATCCCTCTTGCAATCCAGGACCACTGGCTCCTAACCGCTTACCTGCCTGCCTGCCTGATCACGCCCAACTGCTCCTTCCTTCCAGCCTGATCACCCCTAACTCCCCCACACACACACACCTGCTGGCCTGATCACCCCCAACCATCCCATCCTGCCGGCCTGCTTGCCCCCAATTGTCCCCTTCTGCCGGCCTGCTCGCCCTCAATTGCCACCCCCACCAGCCTGATTGCTCCTAACCTGCTATGCCTTTGTCCGGAAGGATGTCCAGAAGATCTCCCAGCCTAATTAGTATATTGCCCTTTTATTAGTATAGATTATTTCATTATCTATAACTTTCAATATTATGCTTTTGAGATTCACTTCAAAATATTAATTGCAAAATAATTTTTATTACTGACTAGTATGCCACTGTATGAATACAGTCATAATTGGTCAGTAACAAGCCCTTGTATATGACTGTGGTCCCATAGGATTTAATGGAGAACACCATTGTGTTTTAAACCAACTGTTCCCACCCTAATCAGTTTGGCTCAGTGGATAGAGCGTAGGCCTGCAGACTGGAGGGTCCCAGGTTCAATTCTGGTCAGGGCATATATCTTGGTTGCGGGCACATCCCCAGTAGGGGGCGTGCAGGAGGCAGCTGATCAATGTTTCTCACTGATGTTTCTCACTCCTTCTCACTTCCTCTCTGTAAAAAAAATCAATAAAATATATTTTAAAAATAATTCCTCTAAACCAACTGTTCCCAAATGTTTCTTGAAATCCCATTATATGCTTAGTTAGCGCCGTTCTAGACACAGAGTACAACAGTGAACAAGAACAGTGGAGTTTATATTGTAGTTCTGGAGAGAGAAGTTGTAGCACAATGAAGTAGTCACATGTTTGTGGTGATACTAGTGGAAGCAAGCCTGTGCTGCCAGTCATACAAAAGAGTACAGTACATATACCTGATATAAATGAGTATGTTACCAATTTATGCACTCTACACTTGTTACCATTATTTTAGCATGCACTCCCATTTATAGAGTCGGCTGTGAAACGTGCAGTATTGGCCTCACGTCTCACGTTTTCTGCTTCTCTTGATTGCACCATTCTCTCTTGTGCTGGAGGGGATCCCGTGGTGCAGTGTGGCCTAAGGGCACAGGGTTTGTGAGGGCTCCAGCAGTGTGCAGTCATGGGCTGGCCTTGGCCCTCACCCTCACTCGCTGATCCCCCAGAGCAGCGCCCAGGCCTGCCAGCTCCGTTCATGGTGAGGGCCCTACACCGTGTTCCACTTTATCTTTCATACTGTATCTTTACCTTTTCTGTATTTAGACATGTTTGGATACACAAATACTTACCGTCCTGTTATAATTGCCTCCGGGATTCAGTAGAGTACCATGCTGTACAGCTGTAGCCCAGGAGCAAATAGGCTATACCATAGAGCCTGGGTGTGCAGTAGGCTGTACCATCTAGGTTTGCTAAGTGCGTTTTACAATCGCACAAAGATGAAATTGCCTAATGACACATTTCTCAGAATGTGTCCCGTCATTAAGTGGCATGTAACTGTATACTACACTATTAATTCCACTATTTATAGATACTTGAGTTGTCTGGTTTTTCATTGCTTGCTTTTGCTCTCAAACTTTTTTGTTTTTTAATATATTTTTTATTGATTTCAGAGAGGAAGGGGGAGGGAGGGAGGGAGGGAGGGAGAGAGAGAGAGAGAGACATCAATGATGAGAATTATTGATCAGCTGCCTCCTGCATGCCCCTACTGGGGATCGAGCCCGCAACCCAGACATGTGCTAAAATCAAACCTGGGACTCTTCAGTCTGCAGGCTGACACTCTATCCACTGAGCCAAACCAACTAGGGCAGCAGTGTTTTTACAAATACTATTTTACAGGTCTCTTACGGTGTGCGAGAACTTTTCCAGGCGGGAGGATGCTAGGTCATTCATTATGTGCACATTCGGCTCACTTTCCCAAGTACACTGACCATAGCCCACACTGTGAGAGTTCACTTCACGCTCTTGCTAATGCTTAGTTTTGTCAGGCGTATTAATTTTTCTAACCTAGGGGGTATAGACATGAATTATAATTTGCATTTCCAGCCTTTTTGTCCATTTTTAATAGTTCATAG